AATTTTTATTGCGTTACACGATTTCTTCCACCGCTTGTTTTCAGAACAAAAAGTGCGCCACTAGGAGTGAAGAGGATGGTGCCATAAAAATTTCTTTGCAAATCTTTATTCAGAAAAGTTCTATTACTGTACTGAATTAAAAATTTGTCAACACCTTCCGAGTGGCAAGACAATGTGCCAAATATTTGTCTTTATGAAATCAACAGGGGTCAGAAATTGCTTCTTCGAAGTTGTTCACGTAATAAAAATTAATCGATCCTAATTTGCAGGAAAGTACTTAAATTCTGAGGCATATTTGCCACTGATCGTTCAAACCGTCATGGTTTTGTTTCAGACTCTTTCTAGGGCTCTTTAAGGTTCTTCGAATGGCCATAAATTACCCACAAGGCTGGTTTTGGGTTAACAAATTGACTAACAAGGATGTCTTCGATGTTACAGCAGCACCTACTGTTAAAATGTTCGCATATTTTCCTGTTTTTATATATCTTATTTTCGGAGAGCTGAATGGGAGAAGCACTTTTCCACATTATGGGACTTGAGTATCATAGATGATACTTTATGTTGACGCCCCACAGAAGGCGAATATTAACCGTACACCCCAGTCTCTGAAAATGAGTATTCAGTTTTCTGACCTTCTAATGACAGTTTTGATTGATTCTGGCACTGAAAAAAATTCTAAAGAAGTGGAATTTTGTTCCAGTTGGATGTTTTAAATTTCTGAAATGGGCTTTTCTACTTTGTCAGATAATAAGTTAAACGAGAACAGACATTGTATCGATAGATTTGCTAATGCATAACTGAACATAAATATACTCGGTCCACACTACTGTCCTTCCTACATTTGCAGAGTTTCTAGTGATTATCGCCTTGGGCGCACTTAACTGATGGTTCTCTATGGAATAAGGAAGGATATTGGAATGTCAAAAGGCCGATTAAGAATTCCAACATACATGTAGATCCTAGTATTAATTACAGAAAACTTTTGAGTTTATCCATCTGCCTTTTAGTTTTTATGGTCTGGTACCTCAAATGTTAATCCATAAGGACAATACTACAGGTGAAAGATTTACAATAGAGAACCTATCTGGTGTGAACTGCCGAAATTTACGAAAAACTGATGATCACTTGCATCAACGCATGTACGGAAACTGTAAAATAATAATACACAGCGTTAAGCGAATTTAAAACTCAAGGGAAATATTAAAAGTGTTAATAATTTGTGTAGAAATACCAGCATTTAAAAAAGCCTCAAATTGCGAAAACGTGAAAAATCACCATAAACGTGACCAATAAATGTAAATATAATTATCAGATAAATCCGTAAACACATCATTTTGTGCATATTAAAGGAACTTTCCCTTCGACCAACTGCTCTATAGATATGGCTGGTATTGGATTAAAATTAGTGCCAGGTCATGCTTGGCGGTTCGGCAAATACTTCACGATTTCCCGTCTTTCAAACCTTTTTTCCCATAAGTTTAGATTATGTTCGATGTGTTTATCAAAACCCTCAAAATAAGATATTTAATAAGAGCAATTATCGAAAAAGTGAGCTTTCGATATTGGTCCTTATGAAGGTGGCTGTTTGAGTCATATTTATAGGCTCACTCAAACATGAAAATTCACTGCCGAGAAAAATGAACGTCCACAAGTTTATTTACTAAAAGCCTTTCTGAACATAAAATCTACTTACCAGATAAAAATGAAAAGACCAAATGTACCCTAAACTTCCAACTCAACTTTCGATCACGATATTATATGCGTTAGGTCACTTACTATATTTAATGGAGAAGATGACCGTCTTCACAAAGAAGTTAATGCAAATCAGGATTTTTAAAATTGGTAGAAATAAACATAGGATTGTTTGCTTAAATTGTGTAAACTTCAAAAATACCCCACATAGAACGTGTCCAAGCACATAATTAAGATCTCTGTCGGTAATAGATACGCAGTATAAAACCGGTTCTTATCAAGTACTACAACGAGAGTGAAGATAAAGGGAGGAAATGTATCGGCGTTCGAACACAAATAGTGGGGGAAGGTAAAATACTGGTGTGCCCACTAGAAATTGTGGTCACTTCTAGATCATATGGGAGTCATAAAGTCCGAGTTTGAAGCTCAATTCCTGAGTTTATTGAAATGGCTGTGAAATGCCGAGGAAGTCTGAACCGTAACCCCAGTGAAACCAGTTAAACACTAACTATCTTGAAGAACATTTAATCAGTCATCGGCTCTAGAGGAGATATTGATGGAGTGCTTAAAAGTCGTTCCCCAGCAATTTAACCATGTCACACCTTTCTTACTGTCATTTCAACCCAAGAGGATTTATAGATCCTGCACCAAACCAGTAACTTTCAAAGAGAGGAAGCATCTTCCTGGTTCAGCTAACTACATGAGTATATTCATCCCCACTGCAGTAATCTGCAGCTGGAGTTTCTTTGTCAAAAATGGTGGAGTTCACGGCATACACCTTCGATTATTGCACCGCAAGTTTGCACAGATTATTCAGGAGCTAATGCATTAGTGTATACCTTAACTTATGAAATATTAACCGAAATGCTGAAATGTGTTTTCGATTCGAACCAAATACCTAAGTAGGGTTAGAGTATTCGTTATCGTAAAGCCTGATCACAAGACACTTCAGTCACACTAAGATGCCGGCTTTTGAACTAGCCAATTTCTGAGCACCTGCAAAAGTCTGCATTTTTTCTCATTGATTTTCACTGCTTTTATAAACTCAAATACATTTTCCTAGAAAACATGCACAAATATACTCTTTCTTGTTCTCATTTGGTAGAAAATTACACTTTCTTACAGTTTTATACTTTAAGAAGGGATATATTTCGGTTTAGTAAGGTTTCTAATTATGAGATTTATTATGGCCGTGAAATGTTCATTCAAATAGATCGCATCTGTAATTTAGTTATCCTGTCCATAGTGTATAAAACATAATCCATGGCCAAATAGTATGAAAACTATGTGATCCCTTCCTCCTGGCATACAGGAATATGTGACGTTCGTTAGACAGAATGTATATAGCATGTAGTTTTGAAACCTTGAATTAAAGTATAACGGTCGGAAAGGTTCAAAATTATTCAGCAATTAAGAAACATTTTTCAGATCGAACGATACCCTATATTCATGTAAAAACTTGCAAGAAGGCTTAATTGCCCACCACATGAGTACAAGCCAAACCGAACCTCAGCACGGAATATGGGTTAGGTAGGTTATCGTACTTATTTATGGACTGGGAGTCCGTAAACAATGACTCACACAACTCACGCGAGAAGTTCGGCCGCATCAAATTTGAATATGTGGCCGGGTTTCGTCGAATAAGCCGCAACCTGCAGAATTGGCGTAATTTCTCGTCGCTGCTGTCACGTGTTCGCCAGTTCGTGTCCAGAGAAGTCTTCCAGTTTCCCCGACGTGGTTACTTTGTCCACAGCTGCACTAGGTCCTATAGACGACTCCAAATGTTTGTGCCATGACAATGGGTTTCTAGTTTCATTATCTGATGCTTTACGGTTGCCTCCGGCCTGTGTGAGACTCCAACCCCAAGTGATGCGAGAAGGCGATCGACGGCCTCCCATACGTTTCTGACGTACAAAATCGTCCGCCAAAATTTGGGGTCTGTGCAATTTTCTCGTTAGTCTCCTTTGCGCGAGCACCGGTTGACGAAGTTGCGTGGGTAACAATTTTGTCCGAATACCCGTCGAAGATATCGCATTTCGGCAGTGCAGCTCAGCACACCGATATATCGTCCTTAGGCAACTGCGTTTGTGGCTGATTGAGTGATTGCTGTTGTAATTCAGTACTTGCATCGCATTTTTGCTTTCCTGAACAATATGGTCTTTAGATCACCTCAATGTTTGCGGCATACGAGGACAAAAAGGAAAGGCAACTTGCTATTTTCTTCCTCCTCGTAAATTTTACGCCCGGGAGGATGCTGCCGAAGGTGAACACCTGATCCCATTCGAGGACGATGAAAGTATCATTCAAATACTGCGCCCAGAATTTCGGTTTGTAATGCTGGAAGACCAGCGACTCTAACCAGTGTAGGACCGCCTCGGCTATGAGTCATGATATCGGCGAAACCATTGTCGTTCTCTTCACCTGCGCGTAGACTGTTCCACCGAACGTGAAGTACATGATGTTGCAGTTCATTCGACGAGACCAGACCACACATTCAGATTTGATGAAGCCGAAATTCTCACAAGAGATGATAATCGTGTGAGGCGCGAATTACTTAAGTTATGGTTCACGTGCCCTCAATCCACAAATAAGTGCAATGACTTATCCAAGCCATAACCGGCGCTGAGGCTCACTTTGGCCAAGGGGAGTGGCCACTTGGGAATGCACAGACCACCGCGACGTCTTACGCCAACACCAGGGAGCCAGGTGGCCAAGCAATCATCACGCCCGAGTCCACCACGCGTGATGAAAGTTCAGCAAGTCTGGATCCGCATGTCGATTGGCAAGCAAGTAACACACAAGAAGGCACTTATCGTTAATTGTCGCTGTCATAAGTGTGCAGTCGTTAGACTGCATCCTATAAATACTGCAACGCCCTATCTATTCATAACCCGTTTCTGCTTCTGTTTTCTGCTGATGTCTCTGATGCAGAATCCGCGACGGATGTCGAAATGCCAGGCGAATAAAAGTGTTTACATGCTATATCGTCCTGTCTTACCTTTAACGAAGCTCCTTCTTTCGGTCACAGGAAGGTTGCACCTTTCTCAGCCAGACAGAGTTGACAGAACTGGCTCGATTGCTCGACCCACAACATCACAACGCAGTGGAGCGAACCACTGCTCTTCGACAAATTGTTAATTTGCCTGTTCTAGATGTCCAGGCCTGTGAGTCCTGGATGGCCGCAGCGTCTCTTCAAACCCCCACCCAGCGGACGTCGACAGCAGCACACGAACGCGCATCCACATCTTCGCCGATCTTCTCCTTGCCTGCTACCGCTACTACGCCGGACGAAATTCCTGAATGTGTCTCCAACCCTCCTAACATGCCTGCCTACAGCATTCGCACAGGCATACTGGAGGCTCTGAATGACGAGGACGACGAGTTATGGGTAAGCTAGCCGTAATTCCCCTCTTCTCTCTGTTCTTCATCATCTGCTCCGCAACTTGCAGCAACTACTGAAGTTGAATTTACTTACCCTGCAACAATGTCCGACAGTGGACGCAAACAGTATGCTAGGTACTAGTTGACGAAAGTTTACCGACCGCTAACGGAACTTACTTGTCCCGTTCCGCCTTTGCCAGCTTCCCTTGTCTTTGCCAGTAATAATATCTGCCTATACTGCTCGTTGCTACAGCTGTTGTCAGGGCCCGGGGAATGAGGGCCGAGGCGAAGGCGGAGCGGGACAAGTGTTGTTGTTCTTGTACTAACTTACACCCTTAACCTAATTTGCCAGAAATACATGA